CTGCTCTGCTCAGGGGCTGGAGCAGCCCCTGCTTGGCCAAAGCCTCCTACCCCTATCTCCCCATCCCCTCCCTCCAGCAGAGCCCAGGCACCCCAAACAAACTGGTGGATCTAGGGCAGGATCAGGCCTCCTGATGCTTGAGCACTGGGAGCAGTAAGGGGGTGTAAACCTTCCCCCCCCCTACATGTAGGGCTGGGGCAGCTGCAACCAAGTCCCTTTTGCACCAGAGCATCCTCCTTCCTGCCAGGATCCCCAAAGGCTCCCAGGGATGATGCTGGAGAGATGGATACTGGGCCCTGCAGAAGTGAACTGGTCCTTGTGGGATGCTCACGGGTGGGGAACTGGTGGCAAGGGGGGGAGAGGGGCAGAGCAGAGGGAGTGTCCCCCTCCCGGGGTGAGCACACAGTGCAGAGCTGGGGCTGGAAGAGCAGCTCAGGGACACCCGAGGGATTTGAGCCAAGCTTCGAGCTTCCCAAACCATCCTCCCCACAGAAGATTTGCCGGTCAGGGAGGTGCTGGGACAGGTTCAGCTGCATCCCCACCGCCCCCTGCAGGCCTCCCGGGTCCCCTGGGGTCCCCCCAGCTGTGCCCAGCTTCCAAACATCTGCACAGCTGTGCTCAGAAACAGCCCTTCGGGCCCTACCCGAGCTCAGCCTCAGGTGAGGCTCCTGCTCCAGCACCCGCTGCCCCTGCCGAGGGCTGGGGGGGCTGCTCCGGTGCAGCCCAGGGGGTTTGGGCACCCTCCCCTGGAACTCTGCAGTCAGCAGGTCCTTACCACCATCTAGTGGCCCTTGAGCCAAGTGCGGGAGGAGGAAGAGGAGGATGTGCTGGGTTAATCCTCAGTCGTGGGCTGGGATGGACCTGGATCTGCATCTGGGGATGCTCAGAGCAGGGGCTGGGGACAAGGGGCCACCCCCCGCAGCCAGCTCCAGCTCCAGAGCCACCATGAAGGCTGGAGCAGCCAGAAGTGGAGAGGAAAACGAGTTTATTGTGGGCTGTAGCCCCCTCTGTCCCCACCGTGCCCCGATGGCGTCGCAGTGGGTACCACGGGGACACCGTGCGTGGCCGTGGGGTGGGACGTGGGGTCTCTTCATGCAACGGGTGCCCAGCTGGGGGAGGCTGGAGGTGGGTACAATCTCCCTGGTATCTCAGCAGGGCCAGGGAGAGATGGACCTGAATTCAGGGAGGGGGAAGAGACACGTGTGTTGGTGGGGAGAGGGGACACTGGGCAGGGGGACATTGTCCCTCAGCTGCGACTAGTTCCTGGTTTTGCCTGTTCCCGAGTTCAACAGAGACCAGGAGATGGAGCCAAAGGCAGCCCCTGAGCCTCAGCACTCTGGAGGTTTTGGGGCACCCCAGGAATGGAGCCACCCCCAACAGCACCCACCTCCACACCCCATCCCCAGCACCTCTCACCTCACCACTCCTGCAGCTCGTAGGCAGCCTCCAGGTAATCCTTGGGGACGATCCCCACGCTGTTGTTGAGCTCTCCAACCCACCAGCCATACACACTGTACTCCTAGGGGGGACACAGCCAGAGGGACACAGGCTCAGTGCCAAGGGCAGGGGACACAGCTCAGGTCCTTTGGGACCTGGATCAACAGCAAGCAGCCCCCAGACTCCCACCTCTCCCCCTCCTAAATGCTCCCTAAGCCCCTTCCCTTCTCCTGCCCCACTCTCCCCTTGCTCTGGGTCCTGCTGGGCACAGTTTGGGCCTCGTTCAGAAATTCAGCTTTTAATTCCCACCCTGATATTTTGTGGGTATTTTAATCAACCCTTGAGATGCATCAGGCTCCAGCCTGGAGCTCTGGGAAGCCCCTCCAGGTGGGTCATTCCTGGGTAACCTGTCCCCTCTCCAGATTTGTGTTTGATTTTCCTTCTGGTAGCAGATAGTGGAGACAACAGGGAAAACCTCCATCCCAGCAGCCAAGCAGGAGGAGTTAGCACAAATAGGCTTGAGAAGTTTGCCATCACCTCCTGTGTCCCACACCCTGCCCCCCCCCCAGCCTGTCTGTGGTGTTTAAGGGGTCCCTGAACTCATCCCAGCTTCCTGACAGGGAAAGGGCTTTGCTTGGGAGAGGGAATGAGAGTTCCCAGGGACAGACGTTGCCCCCAACACTCCCAGCTCTGCAGATGGTGGGGCTGGAACCAGGAAAGGGTCCCTGGAGGCCCAAAACTCCCCTGGTTGGGATCCTAACACTCCTCACACCCCAGCAAACAGCTGGAAAGGAGGGAGCAGGAAAGGGTGGGAGCTTCATCCCACCATCCTCACCAGCCAGCTAGGGAAAAAATCCTGCTGCAAATCCAGAAGGAACAACAACAAATGGGGTCTCTTTGCTGTAACCTGGAGACCTGTGGGCAGAGTGACGAGATGCACCCCAGACATACCAGGGAGCCCCCAACCTCTGCTCCCCTCACCCCCTCCCCAAACTCTGCTGCAGCCTGAACACTATGAGGCATTTTAAAATAATTTCTGCTGTGATAAATGGCTGGGTAGTCCACGATTGCTCATAATCAAAGGGAGGGAAATGCAAATGAGAGCCAGGCGAGAACTGGCGGCGCCGAGCCCTGATTTCACTGCGCGGTGCCAAAAAGAATTAAAACAACATTAAACTCCCAGCAATAATGTTTAAGTCCTCGTTTCCGAGTGCCAAATTGCACCACTCTGGATCATACAGATGTTCGTTAATTATGCTAATTTTTATTAAACTATTAAAACGGGGAGAGCACTGGCACAGCGAGGCAGAGCCCAGTGCAGGGTGAACTCTGCTCTCGTCTGGAGGTGCTAATTTGCATCGTGCTGGTG